ACTAGGAAACGCGAGCTTTGCAGTCGGATCGCTACCAGCAACCGCTACCGACTAACGCGGCTCTTTTCAACTGAGGGGGTGCTTTTGCAGATAGCCCCCCCAAAAAGTACCTTTTAACAAAGCAAAATGAAAATTAAGGTTAAATAAAACACAGACTACTTTCAAGGACTGTTGTGAAAAGACTGCATTGTATACACCTGTGAAATAAAGTCTGATTTACTCCTTAGCAGGCCTCAATCCTTCAATTATTTTTATCATGGGTTTCAAGCCTAGTATGAGAGGTCAGAGTAGTTAATGAGAATTCGGTCAGAGGAAAGGCAGTGAACGGTTTTCCTTGGTAGTTGTAAATGATCGATCCACTTAGAAGCTGCAAGAAAAGAAAAACATACATTCACTACAACTTAGGTTGACAATCGTACATGCGTGTAGTTCAGTGAAGAACAGATTTGTTGATGCATCCGCGGTGTTCTACGGTCTCTATATTACTAATGTAATATCGAGGTCGAAACTGCAAACTAGTTGTGTTGGTAAATAATTCTTTTATTTTTTCTTTGTCTTTTCCTTTTGCATTTCACAGGTCGCCATTGTTGTGCCTTACAGAAACCGCACCATTCAGCTATCACTTTTCTTGCGATACATGATTCCGTTTCTGCAAAAACAGCGTCTGGAATTCGCTATCTACATTGTGAACCAGGTAAGGCCCGAGGGTGCTGTTGGTATTGATTAGTGCTGAAAAGAAGTCAAGAAAAGTGACCGCTCTCTACATGAAAACTCTAAATAGCTTGATGGTCTTTCCAAACTGCGCAAGCAAGAGAGTGAAGCTAGGGGATGGCTCGCGACTCCCTTCATTGGAATTTCCAAAGAGAACTGTCCAACCGCTCCTTTTATTTGAAAGCATCTGTCGCTCTGTGGAGTAGAATTTGAAGGACACTAAGGACGGCGACCTCTGTGATAGCCAGCAACTTTTCCATTTCACACAGATAAGAGAGAAAAGCTCACAGATTGCCAACTTGTGGTCTTTAAAACATGTTAACATTTAGCCGTAGTACCTACTTGATAATGGATGACAGAGTGCCCACTCCAGTGAAAAGAGCCATTTGAAATGCTTAGTGATAGCGTAACTGTGGCATCCAGATTAATCTAGACGCTAGAGAAGTTTCTTTATGCATTATGAGTTGACTGTTTACTTGCAAATCTGATTTTATCTGATTCAGGCGAACAATAATGCCTTCAACCGTGGAATGCTGCTCAACGTGGGCTACCTGGAAGCCCTGAAATTCACCCAGTGGGACTGTTTCATCTTTCACGATGTTGACCACCACCCACAAAGTGAATTCAACTACTACGGATGTGTGGACCTCCCACGCCATTTCATCAGTGGAGCTGACAACCGGAATTACAAGTAAGCCAGCCTTTGGAAAGCAGAGTCCGTGAAATGTGTCGTTGGAGAGCATTGAAAGGGTCAGAGTAGGGAAATCAAAGGAAAATTACGCATGCATTACCTTACCTTGCTTGCGTGCCTTGTAATTATACAACAATATTGCATCCTTTTTTATAGTTTAACTGAAAAGCAGTCGGGCCAATTTCACCCCAATTTACACCGTCATTTTGTCACAACTCCTTTTACCGAATCAAATCTTGGGTTTTCCTTGAGGTACCTTTTGTTTCACTTTAGTGTAACATTTGTGAAAATCGAAAAACGGCTCCCATTTAATTTTTACTCTTCCAAGATAGTGGAGTATCCTGATAAACCCAGAAATTGTGATGTCCGCTTTTAATATTTAACACAACAAAATTAATAGACTCCAGTACTGTTCCACTTCTACTTGTATGTCTGTTTTCTAAAGAAAATTAAGAGTTTAATATTTCTTTCAATGTAGTCTGTTTGTGAGTTCGTTGTGTTGTTCACCAATTGGAGTGCGTTAGAAAAATTAGAAAAAAACTGAATATAAGTTGTTCTTGGCAATTGAAAAGCCGCCGTTTAAATCTGCATTCATTGTGTATGTAAACAATTAACTTTTCATAATGCCGTTAACCCTTCTCTTCTGGCGTTACACCACAGGGTTCCCTATTCAGCATCCTTCGGCGGTGTGAACGGTTTTACCACAGCGCAGTTCAGGCAGATCAACGGGTTTGGTAATGTCTACCAGGGCTGGTGTTGCGAGGACGACGACCTTGAAATAAGAACCCGGATGGCAGGCCTGAAAAAACCCCGCCGCCGGGGCAAAGTTGGGTATTACAAGGCTGTCAGCCTGAACCACAACAAAATTAAGACGCGACTGGGTGAACTTGAAAAAGTCAAGTGAGTGTTTGTGAGTGACATAATCATGAGTTTAGACATAATGATGACTTTATTCATGAATGGACCAGCTTTTTTTATTTCAAAAAAGGCAGGCCAAAGCATGCCAGCTCCGTCACATTCAGTGCATGTGCGGCGCATGGCCGCCCTTACATGGCCGACTATACTTTATACATTTACATGAACGTCTTCTCGCATGGTTCACCTGGGTCATTTAGTTTGTGCATTGAAGGCCTTGGATCCAAACAGATTGGCCACAGGAATCGTTTGGTTACTCTCCCAAGCTGTGATAGGAGAGGAAAGCAAAATACATTTCCCTTTATGTGAATAACTATTCAAAAACATATCAACAGAAGCCTGTGTACTTTTTTCCTGGTGTTCTTTTTTTAGGCTGAATGTCAAGAGTAAGTTAAAGGCACT